CGTACATGTGCATGAGGTAGTGTGTACCACGAACTTGCGCCATGTGTTGCAGTTGCCAGAAGTAGCTGCATTGCACCCTGACCCGCAAGCGGCCGCACATGTTCGTGTATCTGACAAGTTGATGTCACCCATATGTGTCCAATTTCGCAACTTTATTGATGTGGCATTGAGTGTTGCTCCTGACATGACCTTACCAGACTCCTTGAACTGCGAATGCCGCAGGGCCTTTCTGCATTGTTCAGATCTTGTGGACGGTCTGTTGTCTCTTTTGATTACAATATCATCTCAGACGATAACCTTCGCAAGCTTTTTGAAGAAGGTTCTAAATATCGTTTGAAAGGGGAGACTGTTGATGTGCTCCAAGCACTGGCGAYCGGACTCGATGAGTACATTGCCAGTTACAAGAATACATTTGCTAGACACTCTCGATCTGCTTCTTTCTCGTCCCTTTCTCGGAAATTGCACAGCTGGCGTTCTGCAATCCTTAGGCATTGTCAATCCAATGTGACTTCGTCTTCCAATCATGTGAGCCAGCAACATTCACTTCGTTGTGCACATGCCTCCTTACGCCATCTGCAACAACACTTTGCCATTGTNCATTGTCCCTGTGGACAAATCATCCCACAATTTGGCAATTTGTTGCAAAAATTGGTATTTGTTTCACCTCTCTACCCATTTGGACAGTCCCACTTATACTTGTCGTCATGAATCCGTCGCTGATATGCTCAACCACCATGCACTATGGAACCATCATTGGGGTTATACCCACACTGATACCCTGCCTTACCTATACTATGTAACACCTTCCCCTTCACTCTACCTCTCTCACAGCGTGCAAGTGGGTTGTTATGGCGTACGGTGATGGGGGCAGCTCGCGCTCAGCTTCATCAACGTGGCGAGCCTTGCACGTGAGAGGCACAATGGAGGTGGAGTTCAAAGAAGAATGAGAAATTTAATGGTTTCAATATGCCCTTGTTTTTTCTTTTTGTTTTTATTTTTATTTTTGCATGTTATCACTGTGCCCGTTTTTTGCTTTCATTCTTTGTTCCGCAAAGTGCGCTCTTTTAGTTTGCAGTTATGTGACAATATATATGTGGCAATATCTATCTTCCCTGAACACAACACACCGTCATTTTTGCTGCACCTGACCAGAAAAATAGCTTATATACATTCCTTATCAGGGTGCGTTGTGCCTGGGAAGACGTGTTCTCTGCCTCTCTCTCTCTCTCTCTCTCTCTCTCTCTCTCTCTCTCTCTCTCTCTCTCTCTCTCTTCTCCCCCCCCCGGCATCCTGCACGCAATATGGATTTCCCCCAACCACTACGCACCCTCATTTTTCCTGCACCCGACCTCTACTATAGCTTGTATACATGACTTCGCACAATGGGGCCAAGGCCCCAAAAGACGAAACTTATCAGAAAAAAAATAAAAAAAAATGAACTAGGATTCTAGGAATACTCAAGGCATACTCACACACAGTAAGCAAAATTGCAAAATCTGCAATTTTGCTTCCACGATTTTGAGAATTAGGTGTGCCGCAGACTCACACACGATGGCCCTTTTGAATGAGACATGGCCGAGACTTCATGAAAATTGCTCCATCTGCTATCTGAGTGGTCACACAGTTGATAGCAGATGGTGACCTTTCTTTCTTCTGGACTTTAGTACGCAAGCAATTGTGTTTTCTCACCCACTGATGCAAGGAAAATAAGCAATAACGAGATGACAATGTCCAGAATGCACAATCGCATTGAAGGCCAGATAGTATCACAGTGTCCAGAAAGCAGAAATGCACCAATATAACACCGATGAGGAATCATAACACTGAAAACCAATGCCAATGAGAGCTTGCTCTCGCCACCACCAACATGAGTGTCCAGGCCCTATCTCCCTGCTTGGCGCTCGGTGCCAAGCCTACTTCCTACACAGCTACAGTCTGCCTACTAACAGACAATGCAACTCTTGACGTTAGCAGCCCCCGAAGTACTTGAAGATGTCGCCCAATGCAGACCATCACCAATACCAGGTATGTGCCCTCACATCATCATCATCATCATTCTTCTCTCTCTCCCCTGACTTACTCCCACGTCTTCCCTCTGTACACCCGAAGACCACCCCTGCACCTCACTGTAGTCCAAGCCCATCCAGCTATGGAAGGTGGGCTATGGCGCTGCCCTCAGCAGCGCCCTGCTTCCTGCACGACCGCACACGACAGCACCTTGCCTCTCAGTGCCAGCAGCAGCCCACGAGCGTCCGCTCCAGCAGCGCTGCCGCCTCATGCAAGTGCTTAATGACCAGCCAGGCAGCGAGCTCTTTCCTATATGGAAAGAGCCTGCCTCGATTGGAGACCTGGTTGGCCTGGGCCTCGGCCCAGAAGCTTCCGGTAGGCCCCAGTACGCTGCGCCTCTGCTGCGGCTACTAAGCCTCATTCGGTTGGGCCTCTCAACTGTCTGTGTATGAGGCTGCGATTCTTGCCCAGGGTCTGCACTTCCGGAAGGGCCAGGAAGGCCGTGGAATTTTCTTGTTGTTTGGCCTGTGTTTCCTTTAACCAACTGGTGCGTCGCAATGTCTGGACCCCAAATACAAAATTAACAGTCGAGGGCCTCTCGCGTTTTGTTTGGTCCACCTTCACTTAGGGCCGGCACATATGCAACAGGGGCCCTTCAGGCCTGCCGAGGACCCAGATCCTCGCACTGAGGTTTTCTTCTTTCTTTGTTTTTAATCCAGAAAGGCAAATGCAAATTAGAGAGGGTCCTTATTGTTGCATTCCGCGGCCCAGCAGGCGTCTGACATATACTACAGGGTTTGCCATTTTGCTGGGGGTGGGGACATTGTGTGACTGCAATACTGTAGCAGATTTCCCGATTTTGCTAAAAAGACCGCTAGTGTGAGTATGCCCTCACTTTTTTCATTTTTTTTCTACAAATTACACTCGCCGGCTATCACCCCATGTTTTTCTTTTTCCTTTTCTCCCCTCTGAAATCCCACGAGAATTAGTTCGAGGGAACGCGTGTTTTGTATGCGCGTACAACGCACTGTACGTGCATCGGATTTTTATTTTTTGTTGTAATTAGTACATTGGGCACGCCTAGATGAGAAAAGTACGTCTTTCGTTAATTCAAAGTTTCAACCTGATTCCTTCTAGGTGTGTTGTAGTATGGCTCAAACATGTTATTTTTAACATGATTCAATGACTGCATATAACTTATGAATTTGTGACTAGTTCCATCACTTCCGTGGACTTCAGAGAAAATGTCATTTTTTAACGAAATGTCACCTAAATGATCTTGTGCTTCTTGATTCCTCCTCAAAATGATTCTGCAGCCAACATTTGGCAGTGCAAGGTACTTACTACTTGTCTCAGTGGTGATTCAGACCTCTGACACTGCCTCATGTTTCCAGGGTCATTTGCATCTGCTTCCAGTCCGACGTGATAGCACTCCAGGATAGAACGTAATGGTACGTGCAAGAGATGGGACAAACCAACCACTCGCGTCGTCTCCAGCCAACGGTTTCATATCTACAATGTCCCCTCATCAGTCATGTGCAATCTGAAGAAATTTTCTAAGGCATGTTTTGGTTGGAAGGCTGGGGATCAAAATAGCCCTAAAGAAAACCAGGTTCTCCCTTGAGCCTGCGTAATAGTCAAGCCTCGAAGCCGAGAAGAAGAAAAAGAAAAGAAAAAAAAGTCAAGCCTCGAAGATGAGGGTAGTGTTGACCCTAGGAGGTTCTGAGGGCCCACGTCATATGAAAAAGGTGTTCAAAATATAGACAAAGTGTTCGCAGGCTTACTAAGTCTTACGAAAAACGTGTTAAGCTTTGCAAAACGTGTTAAAAACATAGATTCTGACTAAGTTCTAGTGCAATCGCAGGCTTACTAAGTCTTATGAAAAACGTGTTAAGCTTTGCAAAACGTGTTAAAAACATAAACCAAGTTCTAGTGCAACGGCATGCTGGTAAACATGGGTCTTGCTTACTAAGTCTTATGGAACACAGGTCCAGGCCTCCAGGGTCCATCTCATGCCACAGCGGCGGCAGTGGCAGCAGCAGGAGTGGAGGTCATTGTTGAGAAAATTGAAGTATGGTCCTGCAATGGAACTCCTCTTCTAAAGGGTTGGGCGAGGATGTGGCCCGGGACCTCAAACTGGTTTTACCGCATGCTTTCGCTGGCTTCTTTTCTTGCAGTGGGTGAATTATTATATTGATGAGAGTAGGGGGGTTGGAGGGAAGAGAGAGGATGGTTTCTTAATTTTCGCAGCTTGTTCAAAAAAAAAAAGAGGGTTTTGGTTTTCACATGAGTAGCTGGTTTTAACAGGCTGGCAGTTTACTCAGGTTTTCTAAAACTCCTTGGTTTGTTCTCAGATTATCTCAGGTGAAGCCGGGTATCAGTCCCGGTGTTTCAGTGCTTGTAATTTCATATGGGACGCTGGGCCTGGTTCCCAGCACGTGCTGCTCCCCACGAATAGATTGGAGCTTTTTTGTCCCCCTCCCCCCCGGAAAAAAAAAAACAAAACAAAAAAACAAAAGATATTTTGCAGTCCACATGCTATGTATAGTTAGTCACTGCGTACTCGGACGTCACTGCCACATACAGTGGGGCAATATTAAGAGGGTTTCAAGTAAAGAAGGAGGTGTCGAGCGAATCTAGAAGGAGGTTTAAGCCACCAGTACCCCAGGGTGTCTTAGGCCCCCTCTGGGGAGACTCTGAGGCAAATGCATATGGACCTGCACGGCGCACCGATTCAGCCACAGCGTTAACCGCCTTAAAACGTGGAGGTACTGGGGATAACAGACAATGGACTCGGGGAAGCACAGATTGTTTGCGCGGAATTTCAGCATCGTGCTCCTGATTACTAGTGCAGTCCCGTGGCGAAGCAAGGAAATGCATGCCTATGCTGGTTCCGTAAGGACTGTCAGAGAGTTGAAAGTCTTGGGTGGAGGGACTAATTCAAGCTTCCTGGTGATAGGCGAGAAGGAGCTGATAAAACATCTTGGCGACGTACTCGCGTAAAGAAGCGACAAATCTTTGGGAGCGAAGTTTTCCATCCAGGACCTTGCCCTGTCTTCAAATGGCAGTGCTATCTTTTACGCCGAACAGTGTCAAACGATGGATGCTGTCGGTAGCCAGGTTGTCTCCACAGTGAAGAGGGCAGAACTGCTACCCAATGGAAAGTATAAGATTGTCAATTTCACTCCGTCTTGGGACTGGGTCATCAATGGTGTTCTCATCCTTGATGCGAACTACTTGATTGTTGCAGTTGGCGATTGTGTGAACACCGGATTTCAGTCGGTAGATGTAAGTACCGGAAAGGCTGCGGTTTTGACCCCCATGGACTGTCCATTGCGAATCGCCAAACATCCGTTACGCCCGTATGTCTTCGTTTCCGCAGATACGCGCATCTATGGCATGTCCATCAATCCTCCATCCCCACTGACCACAATACCGTCGGTGTCGACCACGAGAAACCTTGCAGGTCCAGTCTGCGCAGCTCATAACTCTAGCTATATTGGGTACTGCGTTGGCGAAGAACCTGTGAACACACTCACAGATAGTCTTGATCCATCTCGAGTCCGTTTCGACTGGCCACTCATAGGAGCACGAGCATTTTCGTCTGATGGCAGGAGCTTGTATGTGGCTGACATGTATAATAACATGATAAGACGGGTGAACACCGTTACGGGGGCCACAGAAACCATAGCGAGCAATGCTGACGCAGTGGAAGGCGATGGTAGTCCGTCATTTGCAGGCTTCAATGAACCATGTGTTGTGGCCATAACCCATGATGGATGCAACCTCTTTGTGGCTGAAAGAAAAGGAGGAGCCATCCGATGGCTGACATTCCAACAACCTCATGGCATTGTACTTGCTGTCAAAACTGTCGCACTCGTTCGCAAGTCGAATGATTCGCTTGGATCCTTTAGGTCTCTCATCCTTTCCGAGGATGACGACTGCCTCTATGGGGGCACTGATGACGGCCAGATTTTCAAGATTGGAGTGAACCATTCCTCTCTCCACCAGTGCGGCGTGTCGCCACCTTCAGCATCTGCCTATGCCAGCTGGCCATTGATGCCTGCGTCTAGCATGCCGTCCAGTGATGGGTTGGTTCCTAATACTACCGAGCTGATGTCGACATCTCCCTCAAGCATATCACCCGCCACTGTTTCCTCTTCAAGCGAACTCTTAGCGTCTTCATCTAGCTTGTCATTGTTCCCTTCGTCTACCAGCCCACCTTTAGAACTAGATTCTAGCTCCATACAGGTATCGTCTCCAAGCTCCTCTTCTTCATCAGCATCTTTGTCCAGCCTACCTTTGGGGTCAGCTTTCAGGCATTCCGATGGTCTTTCGGACTCATCTGGCGTCTCTTTGGCTGACAACTTCCTTTTGGGGTCATCACCCTCTGCGCCACTGGGTGCGAGCCATGAGAATGGAAGTCCTGGCAAGACATCAGCACTGGTTGTTGGTTTGGCTGTGGGGCTAGCAGCAGCAGTTGCGGTATCATTTCTGGCAAGCTGCATTGTCGTGTATGTGTTGAAGCAGCGTCGCTGGTCGAATCATGGTAGCAATAAGCAAGTACCAACTAGTCCAAGTGAAAGGGAGAGCGATAGCAACACTTCTAGATCTTCTTCGACTTCCGCAAACATTTCAAAGAGTGGTATGAAGAAGTTCATGCTCGCAGAAATACTGAAAGCGATGCAAGAGGGGCATTGCTTGACTGGAAAGGGTGGAGGATTCGGCGACATTTATAGAGGCTCGATGAAGATGGCAAGTGGAAATGCCACCGTAGCCATCAAGGTAATGAGAGGAACATGTGACGAGATCAAGCATAAGCAGTTCATGGCCGAGCTCAACACTATTGGTCAGGTACGACACAAGAACCTTTGCCAGATTCTGGGTTACTGCATCCAGGACGAGAAATACTTTATTGTCTACCCGTTCATTTCAGGTGGAAGTTTGTATGACCACTTGCACGGTTCATGTGACATGGCTGTCACCACGAGTGAGCCCCTGGAACCGGCCCAGAAAACCGCTTCTGCCTCTTAGCGAACCTATCTCTTGACCTGGACGGACCGAATGTCGATTACGAAACAAGTAGCAGAGGGCTTGTGTTATCTTCATCATTCCTTGGAGCCTCCGATATTGCACCGTGATGTTAAGAACCGTAACGTGTTTCTTGAGCGAGTACAAAATGAGAATCGCACTAGCATTCGCGCTCTTTTAACTGACTTTGGGCTTGCCAGGCCTGGCATTGCAGCTGATGACCAGGGGAAGACTTCAACGATTGAGGAGACCATACCCACGCTCACACGTTCTGGTACTCCAGGCTATGTGGCTCCAGAGTACGCTAACAGGGCGAGGCTAACAATGAAGAACGATGTGTTTTCATTTGGGGTCATGCTCATGGAGCTGATTACAGGTCGAAAGACCATAACAGGGATGATGAGGCATGACACGCACGATCACCAAGTGATGCTTTACACTTGGGCAAGGAAATGGCTGTCTCATGACAGTCTGACTGTCGAGCAGCTGGGAGAGATCATGGATCGGAAGTTAGTGCCTTTGGTGAGAGCTGAGGAGAGGGAGATGATTCAGAGGGTTGGAAAGCTCGCCTGCCAGTGCACGGATGATCTTCCATCCAATAGGCCTCTCATGCAAGAAGTAGTACAGCAGCTATTGATGATCGAGCAAGATCGCAACTCCACCTTGCAGTGAGTAGCAGGACTATCAGTGTCTAATATCACCATAATAATTGTAGTAAGCACTTGAGATCTGGGCTAAGAACCTGCCCAGGTGGTGGGCAGGGGAGGACCCACCTAGGGAAACCGGGTGGGTCGAAAAGGAGGCAAGACTTAAAAAAAGAAAACAATTTTACGCAGGTTTGGACTGTGCTTGACCTGAGCAGTTTGAATCCAGCCTTTCTTTGGACTTGGCGATGCATCAGCAAGGGAGGTTTGGGGGGTGTCACCTCACTATAAACAGACTTTATATGGGCTCAAAGGGGGTATGTCTTTATCTTTATCTCGAATTGGGATGTTATTTGAACTTATTTCAGTAATTTTACACAACATTATTTTATTTAATTTTTTTTGGATAATTTTATTTTTTATTTTCAGATATATTATGCGTTGGGAGTGTACGGGACCATGTCCAAGACTCGCCCAAGTGGGTACCCTGGCAATCCCCCCCAAGGTGGGCCACGGTCCAAGTGGAAACTCACCGACATGAGTTCGTAAGCTCTTTTGGTCCTATTCATAAGAAATAGACAGATATCGGGGCGAGACCCTGCTGCTTCCGCGAGTCCAGTGGGTTTTCTAGCATCATTCTACACGACCTTTCACACTACGGCATGCTGGGGGGTGCCCGAGGGGTTGCTCTGCAAACGTATTTTTTACTAAATTTTGGTGTTTTTCAATAATTATGACATTTTGTTCTTAGGGGTAACTAGGGCGCAGTCACGAAAGCAGTTTCTAATGTATTTCAAACTGCATTTTTTAATTCCAGTCCCATCGGAAGTTTACTATGCAGTAGAAACTCCGCTTTGCAGAAAAGTCGCACCGCCGAGTTTGAAACTGCAGTTCAGTCCGGCAGGTGCCGTTTTTTTTTTTTTTTTTTTTTTTTTTAATCTCGGTCGTGGCCAATCTGGGGTGTGGAAAAGACATCTCGGCTGTGGCCAATCTGGGGTGTGGCCGAGACATCTCGGTCGTGGTCAATCTGGGGTGTGGCCGAGACGAGACATCTCGGTCGTGGCCAATCTGGGGTGTGGCCGAGACATCTTGGTCATGGTGAATCTAGGGTGTGGCCGAGACATCTCGGTCGTGGCCTGACCATGGAGCTGGTTTTTTTTTTCCTTCCCTCCGCGCCGCGAGGCACGCCCAACCAAAAAAGAAACAAACAAACAACAAAAAAACGGCTACCTGCCTGATTGAGCTGCAGTTTCAAACTCCACAGTGCGACTTTTCTGCAAAGCGGAGTTTCAACTGCATGGTAAACTTCCGACAGATTGAATTAAAAAACACAGATTGAAATGCATTTAGAAACTGCTTTCGTGACTGCACCCTACTTACCCCTTTTCATTTTTCTTTTTTTCCTAGTCCTTGGCTACCTACCGGGCATTCCTTGCCTAACTGCACCATGTTAATTTTTTCCAAGGGTCCGTTGTTTTTTAGATGCACAAAAGTTAAAAAATTGTGTCGTTTTGATCTATTTTGTTAAAATTTTAAGCCGCTTCGTTTGTCACGGTGAGGAGATTTATGTCACAATGCCTCACAAAAATACCATATTTTGCATTAAGCGCCCATTTCATAGCAACTTTCTGCAATATTTTGTCAAATGTAAAAAAAAGCAGTGAACTTCCCACAATGCATAACCTAATTTTGATGACTATACTATGCCAAATACAAAATGACCATTGCATTTTAAATACTCTTGCGCCATGCGCCTGGGTTGGATACATTGTCTTTTATAATATCTCAAAACCCCAATAAAATAAAAATGATACCTTAAACAATAGATTATCACATCAAAATGACCATTTATTTTTAAAACTTTCGCACAAAACACTAAAGTAGTAAAGTTTGTCCTTTGTCGAGTTTCCACTTCTATATAACCAAAATAGCAAAAAAAAAAAAAAAAAAAGTATAGATATAATTTAACATAATTGAGACTATCACCGTGTTCAAACAACTGAAGAACATCCATAACTGTTATGAGCTAAAAAGTTTAAAACATTTATGTCAGTCTGTTGCTGAATCTTGGATCATACTTTTCGAACTATAATGCATTCTCCTGTAAACTGTCGAATCTTCCCAAATTGTTGTCTTATTCATTCCGTGTACTGTGGGGTTCCTATACTTTTCATGTGAAATGTGTCATCCACATACTTCTCACACAATGCTTGCATCAGGACAAAGAATTTGTCTACCGTATACACATCAGACCCGTTCAGTTTGCGAGGCAACAAACTAGCGTTAACTTCGATGTGTGTGCGGGTGTGATAAAATATTATGAATCTTATTTTAGCTACCTCGAAAATAAAAAACTTAACCAACATTGTAAGTAATGCGAACACATATCTGTTTTTTTTTAGACTGTCGCAGTTATTTATTTGCACTCGTAACAATGGTTAAAGTTCTCCTTTGCACGTTTGCATGTCACTCAACACTTTGGCTATTGAGGTACCGAAATTTGAATTGTATGATACATAAGGAAACCGCATATGGATATTGGACAATGAGGAACAATTTCCTTCTATGTGCTATTGAGCGATGAGGTTTGTTTTTATCTTTATGTTGTTCGACATTTCCTTACACAAACATCGGCGTGCTATATGGGGACTCATCTTATCTATAATTATACACAAACTATCATTCTTCTTAAATTGAGACTCGTTCGACTATACATTGTAAAGCTTGCGGTGAAATTTTTGTAGATCTATGAATTTCTTGTGTTTGAAAACCAGTTCACATCGCGTCTCAAAGAGGGCTCCCTCGATGAGGATAGAGATTTTGACGCACTCATTGCACTTTGCGTGATCAGTAAATCGGGTATGTCGAACATACAAGAAACGTCTCTACATATCTTGCAAAAAAATTGGTAAGATGTGCAAGACACATCTTGTTTTCGTAGTCTTCGTTTGATGCTCTCGTACACATGTTTCTTGTAGTCGTATTCAGAGGAGGTTCGAATACGGTTCCTAATTTCGAAATATGGCCCCATCTTTGTCTGATCTGACATCTGGTCAGACTGACGCAAAATAATATTTTCGAACGCGGACCAGGTTATTGCATACTTCGCGCCATTCACAGTCATCCAAGGACGACACTCGTTAGCATGAGTTGCATCGACTATTCCATTCATCGAAGTTATTTGTTGTAGCTTCAATAAGTATTACGTCAAGGTGACGCACACGCGATGCATTTTTACAATAGGTTTCATAATAGATTTTCGATCCATGAGGAATATAAAGTTTTGTAGCAGCTTTACAATCCATCACTTTCCTTTGTTCCCCCCTCTAAGCAATTTGTACTCGCTTCTACATTTTTTGACCTCCTTTATTCTCATTCTACAAGATACACCAATAAGTCTTCTAAACCAGTGTCACACTTTTGCACCTATGTTCGAAAGTGTATCCTTTCTTCCCTTGTCAACAAAGCAAGGACGACCTTATCCATGTTGACATTCGATAGATGTTTCTTTGAGTCATAAAATTGGAACTCTCCATCACCAGTTTGCGACATAAAGAATTCAATGTATAATTTGTCACACACATCGCTGAACATTGACACGTTAAGTACATGGACATTCACACAAAATGGTTGTAGCACTGATGAAAACGATAGGCGTCGCGTTATTGATAGTGTCATCAAGGCACAAATAGTGGACAATGTTGTTGGCCGACCCCGGTTGTCAGTATGCAACCACGTATCATTTATGCGTGTTGTCCACAGATTGCGCCCAAGGTCGGCGCTCAGAGGGTGTTAAAGGTGCCGAAGGCGATCAACTCTCGTAAGGAAAGGCAACCTGAGTGAGCCTTGGCGTAAATGAAAGTTGAATCGATGGTTGCGAAGCGTGATGGCAACTACCATTTTTGCTATCTATTATGACATCTGCAAACAACCTCAAAACCCGACAAGATCACGCAAAACAGCAAATTGTTGTCGTTGCATTGTGAGATTCCAACCATGTTGGCACTCAGGGCTATGGAATTATGAGAATTCAAGGATAGGGGTGCATTTTATGAAGGGTTTTGTCTTTTAGTTAAAAGTTAGAAGGGTCCATAGATGTTTAGATGGTCCCCATTCAAGGTGTGTGACCACGATGGGGCACTTCTATAAGGAGGAAAGACTTCGAAGGGGATCGACATGAAGGAGGTGCATCCACTAGGGTGTTGAGAGTGTGTGTGGTGCGAGACACCATCACAATGACAAGGAGTCCTCTTTTTCTACTTCCTCCTCCTCCTCCTCGCCCTCCCCCTCATCGTCCATCACTGCATCGTCGGCCTCCTCCTCCTCCTCATCCATGACCTTCTCACCATCATTGTCCACGTGGTTGTCTCCCCTCCCCTTGCCTTTTTGTTTTTTTTAATCAATCAATCATAACAATCCAACGTATTTATTGGATGTCATTGATTCAAGATCTGATTCGAATTGGATCTTGAATCAATCAAGATGCAATTGAAAGGTTGGATTTCTTTCCATCTTCGATTGATTGATTAATTGATTGATGGATTTAAAAAAACGAGGGGGAGAGGGACGACCACGTCGACCATGAAGGCGAGAAAGTTGTGGACGACGAGGAGGAAGAAGAAGAGGAGGAGGAGGAGGAAAAGGATAACGAGGAAGATAAGGAGGAGGATGAGGGGGGCATGTCGATGGAGGACAAGTAGGAGGATGACGGGGTCGAGAAGGGGGAGGAGGAGGAGGGAGCCAAAGCAATAGCGGAGGTAGAACAGGACTAAGAGGAAGAACAAGAAGAGGAGGAGGAGGAGGAAAAGGATAACGAGGAAGATAAGGAGGAGGATGAGGGGGGCATGTCGATGGAGGACAAGTAGGAGGATGACGGGGTCGAGAAGGGGGAGGAGGAGGAGGGAGCCAAAGCAATAGCGGAGGTAGAACAGGACTAAGAGGAAGAACAAGAAGAGGAGGAGGAGGAGGAAGAAGAAGAAGAAGAAGAGGCAGAGGAGGAGGAAAAGGCGGCCGCGGGAATGGAGGAGGACGAAAAAGAAGAGAAGGACGAGGAGGAGCAGGAATAGGAGGGGATTACAGTGATGGAGGACAACAAAGAGGAAAAACAAGAGGAGAAGGAGGAGGACGACAATGACGAGGAGGCCACGATTATGGAGGAGTAGGAGGAGGAGACAGTCACTCTGAAGGAGGAGAAGGGGGCCGCAACAATTGAGAAGGATGGGAAGGAGGAGGAGGAGCCGGCCGCAGCGATGAAGGAGGAGGAAGAGGAAGAAGAAGAGGAAGAGGAGGTGGCAGAGAACGCGAGAAGGAGGACGCTGATGAGGGGGCCGCGGAGATGGAGGAGGAAGAGGAGGAGGAGGAGGAGGAGGAGGAGGAGGAGGTGGACAAGGAAGAGGAGGAGGAGAAGGAGGACGAAGAAAAGGAGGAGGAGAAGGAGGACGAAGAAAAGGACGAGGAGGAAGAGAAGGAAGAGAACGAGGAGGAGAAGGAGGAGGAGGAAAAGGAAAAGGAGGAAATGGCAGAAAAGGAGGCGGAGGAGGAAGAGGAGGGGCACGGCGAGGAGAAAGGAGAAGCATGAGGAGGAGGAAGAGGGAAGGACGGAGACTCATCTGGCGCGGGCCGGCGATGGCACGTGGGTTGCTGGCATCGACCTCGGAGTTCGGCAATGGCAACGCCATAATCAGTCGACGAGGTGGGGCAAAGTCGCACGTGGGGGACGGTCGTGCCCCAATCGGCACTCGGATTTGAAAATGGCCCCATCTGGGTCGTTCATCTCACTGATCTGGCAGCTCAGATTGCACCATTTTCTCTTTTCCAGTTTGGAGGCCCTACCAACCTCCCAAAAAAAAAATCATCCCCCCACCCCGCTTTCGAGCACCCCGCGCCCAACCCCTGTGGCCCCAAAAGGTGAACCCCTCCCGCATTTTTTCCTATCCTTGGACGTCGCCCCCCCGGCGGACGGTCGGGCTGGTTGTCCGACCGAACATCCCGGATGGTCGGGGGGGTCCCAGAGGTCAGATTCCGTAACGATGAAAAGAACACAAAAAAAATAGTGTTTGCAACAGCAAATAGGTGACCTGCAGTTGTTACAGCCCCTTTTGTTGATAACAGAGGAGCAGCAAATAGTGGACCTATCGGGAGACCTTAGCCCTTAGGCCAATCCTAATCTCCTATTACATCAGTAACTACAAGAGGAATAGTTACATGTTCCACAGTTGCAGTTACTGATGCATTAGTAGATATAGTCTGCGTCTGTAGAACAGTTCTCTACTGTTGTGCATTCTCTATCCATCCTGCGTTGCCACTTGTACGCACCCTCGTACAAGTACGTACTCATGTACTTGTACGTTACTCGTACGTTAGGGACCCCGTACGAGGTTTTTTTTTTTTTTTTTTTTTTTTAAATCCGGTATAGTTTTTTTTTTTTATCTCGAATTCTAATAAGAATCTGAAGATGATGCTCAGCCAAATAGTGCTAGTTCTGTGTTGTTGCATCACATAGTTTTGTTTCAGATTTTTTTTAATGACCTTTTTTTTTTTTTTTTGCTTTTTCGTACGGGGGCGTACAAGACGTACAGGTTCCCGTACAGATCCCGTACAGATATTACCTATACGTTTTGTACGGAAGGCCTCGTACGTGTACGGTATGCAACGTAGATCTCATCCACATTAGTTGATGCAATCTTTGGAAAAGCAGCAAGCACATTTCCCTCTGTAGCAGCGGCACATACAGTCGCAAGAGCTGCAGTGGATTGTCGAAATGCAGTCGGGAGTATATGTGACCACAATATAGACATCAACACAAAAGTATCCCCCCTTCTTCTTCGAAGAAATTGTTGCCGCCTAAGGAAAGATTAGTTCCCTTACCTATGCCGGTCTCACTAGAAACTGGAAACCAACAGAAACTGAGGAATACTTTAGAAAGAGGCCAGGCAGTGAGACCTCAGGCCCCGAAGGGTAACCTGATTATATTAGTAAGGAAGAAGGTGAGTAGGTGGAAAATTGGACTGTCCCCAATTGGAAGAAGGTGAGTAGGTGAGAAGGGGGGGTCATACAGCGAGGTTGGTCCACATATGTGGAGTATCATAATGCACAAGACTGGGTATCTAAAAGGGATCTGCATAATTTTTTGTCCACGCTTTATGACCCAGGGCCACAGGCGACCCTCGAGGAAACAAGGACAAGGCATGACAAAATGAGATACCTTCATGCATTTTGAAGAATAAAATACGTCATGATTGTACTCCCACGCTTACTCCCACACAGTGTTCTTGGACCTGCAAAATGTAAAGCTTAAAGCTAATGTTGTGTGGTTGGTATCAGATGTAGTTGCCTTCTTGCGCACCATCTTATGTAGAGGGGTGCTTCAGCATGCTTCAGTTCTAGATGTTGGTAACTGGGTTCACCCTTAGAAGAGTGGTGAAAGGAGAGGGAGTATACTAAGAAAGCCTGCGATGGAAGCACTACAGACCTATTATAACGACCATTTCGTCAACGCCTTGGCTGTACTTGGACCTAGCTTGAAACCAGGTACCTCCAGGCAGTATTGCCTGGAGGTATCTGGTCTCAAGCTACTAGGTCCATGTACAGCCAGGGGGAACAATAAATTTTGACAAGTTTCGGCTCAAAAACTTGGTTTCAATTTCGTTCAAAAAATAAAAGATATTCATTTTGATGAAATGGTAGTTTTATGAAAAGAATCTTTCTTAGTACCGTGCTACCAAAACAACAGATGTAGACTTAAGATCATTGAATATAAATAGGTTACCTATGGCGGATGTAAAAAAAAAGGAGGGCTATATTAGAGCAATAAGAGGTGGTTGGTGGATGCACGTGGCCAGATGTAATCATTCAGGAATCTCGCCTCACTACTTCCCCAGCACACACATGTATGCACAATTTAGTATGACCACACTAGAAAGTATGTGCATTGGTGTCCGAAAGTGGTTCATGTGGTGTGGCTTTACGGGTTCCACCAAAGTCAAGGGCAAAAATTGCGTATTGGGTTGCTGATAATGTGCAGTGACAGTGGGTTTCAGCGTTCGTAATGTTGGAATTGAAAATTATTTGTGTCATTAACATTTATGGTCTGCATAACGTACAAGAGAGGATCAATTATTTTCAGCACATAAAGGCTCAAATTCCGAAATGGATACCCGTAATCATTCTTGTGGATATTAATGCGGCCCGGACAAATAGCTAGACTGATGGGAGATACCCTCTCATGCCGAACTATATATTGAAGAAGATGGAAGCATCATTTATACACTTTGTTAAGAAGATAATCTATTTGATACCTATCACTATATCTTTCTTAATGTCAATTGATCTAGATAACGCTCTGCATCAATCCAACTTCTGCATTGATATAATCTTAATGTCAAAGGATTTGAATATCGCTTTGGTCTGGGCGACCATGTTTCCCTAGAACCCGTGGTCGAAGCACACCATAAGGTGTGGGGGGTACTGCTTTCCTTTCGAAAAAATTCGGATCAATGCAAGGATTTCTATAAACTTAATACTTCCTTACTTTCACAAGGTTCATTCTGAAAATATGTTGAAGATGTGTTGGAGTACTGATATACTACCGAAAACAAGCAGGATTCTCATATAGCCTGGTTTAAAATGGGTGTACCATTTTTTGTTATGAAATACAATAACTATTCAAAACTTAAGGCAAAGAATAGGTATCTTTTGGAACTAAACATTCAAGAAGAAATTCTAAATTATGAATTTCAAGACCATCCTGATGAAGATCCACAACCAGTCAAAATCTGGAATCTCAGGAACCAACTTCTAACATTTTGTTAACATCATTGGTAGGGGCAACTCATCCAAGGTAAGTTATCCAAATTGTCGATGAAGGACAAATAGACACATTTTACCATTGTTTTTGACTTGCATAAGGTCTAAGACGCACATCCATAGAGTCCTTATATAATCCATAAGTTTTGTCTATCACGCCTTCAACTACTTTTGCTGAAAGTTTAAAAGTGACCTTTGATTTTTCAAAAAACAAAAAACCTCCTTAGATGTTTTTAAGGATCCTTTGCGAGTAAAGGAGGATGGTCGAGCCATCGAACAATTTGTTGCTTCATTGTCTCAAACCCTTCCTCACAAATAAAGAGAACATCTAGAGCGACCATTTAATATAACAAAGAAGGAGATATGGAGTGTTTTCCCAATGATTTATGAGAGGTAATGTAGCCAACATTTTCTCATCACTTGATGTAATACTTTAACTCGGTACAGCAATCAGGTCAGATAGGGGAATTTGTAGGGAAGGATATCCGAGTCCTCACCTTGCTTTATAAAAATATGGATAAATCTTATATTATGAATAATAAGTCAATAATATTGTTTCTGGTAGTGTATAAGTTATTGACCAAGAGTCTGGTTAATCGCATGATTCTCATCATGGCGGATATTATTTATCTAATAGTATCTCAAACGCGTTTTATCAAAGATAGACACATTTAAGATAGCATTCTTCTAATAAATGAAATGATAAAGCTTTCACGACAATATAAGCAAAATGTTACCTTTGTATTCATAGACTTTGAAAAAGCCTATGACCATGTAGATAGGGAATTTTTTTATGCTTGTCTCAATAAGATGACCTTTAGTTCAAGTTTACGAAGGTGGATATGAATCCTTCATGTCAATGTCACGACTAGGATTCATGTCAATGACATACTGTCTCCAACTATCAAACTTTATCATTTAGTAAGACAAGGGGATGTGTTAGTCTCATTTATGTTTGTAATTATAATGAAGGCTTTGTGGGTCAGTCTCGCATCTAACAATAACATCAAGCGCCTTCAGATCTCGAGGATCCCTGCTGAGGTCATCCCCATACGCTCTATGTTTATGGATAACTTTACCATTATGATGGAGGTTACGACCTCAAATCTAGTTGAGATCAAGGTTTTTATTGATCGATTTTCAGCAGTGTCTAGTATGGTGGTCAACTGGGCAGACCCAGGGATGGTGGATTCACTTGAATGTGGTTGAACTTCGCCTCCAGAAAATCCTAAAATAACTTAGTTACCATTGAGTCTCACGCCCAACATTAGATTAGTTGGACCAATGAAAGGATCAACAAACGTCACTCTTTGGTCGAGCCCTAAATTATTAATGATGTGATTTTATGTGATTTTAACTAAGTAACACGGATTACCTGGCTAGATAATCTGGTCGGATTATCCGAGGGTGTGATTATCCGGAAATCCGGATTTAAAATGAATTAAAAAAAAGGAAAAAAAAGTGATATTGCGCACATTAAATACAACAAACTATGCTCCTAGTTCATAAAAAGCTTGATTGGTCATCAAAGGGGGTATAGATAGGGAATTAGGAGGTTTAGAGGGGGATTGCTCAATTTATTTTATCTCAATATTGTTTAATTATTTTATTTTATTTTTTATCTTTATTTTGGTCGTAATATTAAAAATGATATCAAGCCAAAAGTTGTTCGTATTACTTATATCTACAACATATTTTGTTTCCATATGTTTTTGAAGTTTTTTCTTTATAGGAAAAAAACCTATTTTGCGCAGGGTTGGATTTCCTATATCGGGAATGAATCCGGAAATTTCATCTGGATTCAAAATTACGGATAAAATAGGTGTGTCGGATATCCGGTTTTGCTACATAGGATTTTAGCCTCTATA